TTACAATAGCTAAGATCTAGAAACAACCGAAGTGCCCATCAGTGATGAGTGGATAAAATGCTGTGATACATTTATACCCTGGAATACTATGCAGCAGCAAAAAAGAAGAATCTCTTACCCTTTGAGATAGCATGGAGGGACCTGGAGAGTATCATGCTAAATGAAGTCAGTCAGTCAGAGAAAGGCAAGTATTACATGATTTCACTCATATGTGGGATCTAATTAATAAAATAAACTGATGAATGGAGTGGATCCAGGGACATGGAAGCATGGAAATAAGTGCAGAATCTTAGAGGGAAGGTGGGGGAGGGTGGGTGGGTGGAAAGTAATCAACCAATGACCTTGTATGCATATATGCATAACCCATGTACACAGACAATGAAGTGGTGAGGGTGGGGGGCAGGGTCAGGCTGAAGGAGGCCAATGAGGGGGAAAGGGGATAGATGTAATACTTTCACAATAATTATTTAAAAAATAATTGTTGAAAAATTAAAAATAAGGAATAGACAAAATAAAATAAAACAATTATAATAAAAAAATAAAAACAGTCAGAGCCATGAGTACAACTATTCTGAATCCTGTGAGGCCTCCTGATGAGTCACTGATTCTGGGGATAGTCTTGGGGACATTGACATATCTAGGGAAGTCCAATTGCTTCAGGACCAATTGTCAGAAAGAAAGTCTGTCTTTCCGCCCTGGAATTGTCTTGTAAGGATTTTTTTCTGGATTCTATTCAGTTCCATTATGCCAATATTACATTGTCTTGATTATGTGGATTTATAATAAGTGTTAAAATCAGATAGCGTAAGTCCTCCAACTTTGTTATTTTTCAGAATTATTTGATTATTCTAGGTCCTTTGCATTTCAATATAATTTTAGGGTCAGCATGTCAATATTTACAAAAAAGCTGACTGTTTTTTTATTGCAATTTTATTATATCAATAGAAAATGTCAATAGGGAGAAGGAATATCTTGACAATGGTGAGTCTTCCAATTTATAAACATGTCACTTAATGTCTCAGCAATGTTTTGAAGTTTTCAGTGTAAGAGTATTGTGCTTCTTTTCTAAAATTTATTCCTAAGTATTTTATTCTTTTTTATGCTAATTTGAATTAAATTGTTTTCTTAATATCATTTGAATATTGTTTATTGCTAGTATATAGATGTAAAATGATTTTTGTATACTTTGCTAAATTTATTAGTCCTAGTATTTGTTTCATGTCAATATTATGTCATCTGTGAATAAAGACTACCTTTATCCAGCTACCTTTAATCTCTTTATTTACCTTATTGGCACTGGCTTGTACTTCCAGTACAGTGTTAGTTAGCCGAGGCAGGAGTGGACATCTTTGCCTCATTCCTGATCATCATAAGGGGGAAAGCATGAGGTACTCATATGATATTAGCTGTGAGTTTTCATAGATGCCCTTTATCAAGTTTTGTAAATTCTCTTTTATTCTTAGTTTGTTTAAAGTTTTTATCACAGAGCTAAAGCAGGTGGGGATACCTCTTATCAACCTCAGGCATGCCTGTTGTATTACTCTTCACTTAATTGCACTTCACAGATGTTGCATTTTTACAAATTGAAGGCAAGACCCTCCACCATCAAAAAGATCATGATTCCATGCCGAAACTGGTTTGGCTCAGTGGTAGAGCATCGGTCTGTGGACTGAAAGGTCCCAGGTTCAATTCCGGTCAAGGGCATGTATCCGAGTTGCGGGCACATCCCCAGTAGGGGGTGTGCAAGAGGCAGCTGGTCGATGTTTTTCTCTCATCGACGTTTCTAGCTCTCTGTCTCTCTCCCTTCCTCTCTGTAAAAAATCAATATAATATATTTTAAAAAAAATCATGACTCCTTTTATAGTTGTGGTCTGGAACTGATTCAGCAATATCTTTGAGAAATATCATGCCTGTACTTTTTAAAAAATGTTTTTAATTTATTGATTGATTTTTAGAGAGAGAAATGGAGAGACAGAGAGACACATAAATTTGTTGTTCTTATTTAAGCATTCATTAGTTGATTCTTTTTTTGTTTTTGTTTAATTTTTATTGATTTCAATGAGGAAGGGAGAGAGAGAGAGAGAAAAAGAAACATCAGTGATGAGAGAGAACCATCAGTTGGTTGCCTCCTGCATATACCAATCGGGGATTGAGCCCACAATCCAGGCATGTGCTCTTTTTTTTCTTTTTTTTTTGAATTTTTTTTTTAAAATAAATTTTTATTGTTCATATTATTACAAATTTTTCTTTTTTCCTGGCCCCACCATTGCTCTCCTCCACCCCACCCTCCGCCCCCTCCCCACTCCCCATTGTCCTCATCCATAGGTGCACAGTTTATGTTCAGTCTCTTCCCACACCCCCTCTCCCCTTTTCCCCAAGAATCGTCAGTTCACTCCCTTTCCATACCTCTGATTCTATTATATTCAACAGTTAATATTGTTCATCAGATTTTTTTTTAATTTCCTTGGTTTTTAGATTCACTTGTTGATAGTTACGTATTTGTTGCTCATAATTTTTATCTTTATTTACTTTCTCTTCTGAAAGAACCCCCTTCAGCAATTCATATAATTCTGGTTTGGTGGTGATGAACTCCTTTAGCTTTTTTTTTAATTAGTGAAGCTCTTTATTTGGCCTTCGATTCTGAGTGATAGCTTTGCTGGATAGATTATCTTTGGCTGTAGGTTCTTACTATTCATCACCTTGAATATTTCTTGCCATTCCCGTCTGGCCTGCTTGGTTTCTGTTGAGAAATCAGCTGACAATCGTATAGGTGCTCCTTTATAGGTAACAACCTGCTTTGCTCTCGCTGCTTGTAAGATTCTCTCTTTGTCTTTTGCTCTTGGAATTTTAATTATCATTTGTCTTGGTGTGGTCTTCTTTGGATTCCTTTTGTTTGGAGTTCTGTGCGCTTCCTGGACTTGTAAGCCTAATTCTTTCACCAGGTGGGGGAAGTTTTCTGTCACTATTTCTTCCAGTATGTTTTTGGTATCTTGCTCTCTCTCATCTTCTGGGACCCCCATAATTTTGATGTTGGTTCGCTTGAAGTTGTCCCAGAGGTTTCTTACATTATCTTTAATTTTCTGGATTCTCTTGCCTTCTAGCTTCTGCTGAGGAGTGTCTTCTGGCTCTTTATGTTTCCAATCTTTGACTTTATTCTTGCGATCTTCCATTCTGTTTTTAGGACTCTGTATAATATTTTTTATTTCAGACAATGTATTCTTTATTTCTTGTTGATCCCTTATCATTTCTTATTGATTCCTTATTAATTGTAGTTGATCCCTTTTCATATCCTCATAGGTCTTATCAATCTTTTCTAGGAAATTCTTGAAAAACCTTATAACGTAGATTTGAACTCTATATCCAGTCGCTTTTTGTCCTCCATTTCTTTCGTTTGTGATCTATTTCGTTGTCGCATTTCGCAGCTATAGATGGGGCGGGGTTTCAGGTTGGAGCCTACAGCCTTGGCTTCTGTCAGCCCCGCACTATGCCCACCCTATGCGGTTCCTGAGTCTCAGTAATCCCCAGGGTCCTTCAGTACTCACTGCAAGGGCCTCTGAGAGAAAGGTGCCCTCGATTTTCACCTGCTACCAAACAGTCTTTCTCCCCCAGTGAGCCCGGTATTGGGGTTCAGTTCAGTTGGAAGTGGGATTGGAGGTGGCGTTCAGAGCAGTCTGGAGCCCCTCTCTCCTTTCGGCCAGGGCAATTCCGCAGCACAGCCAATTGCCCCTTCTCTGTGCACAATGTGCTCACTGCCGGGACCTCCTTTCGCCGCTTTCCCAGGGTTCCGCCTTATAGCCCAGCTCCCTCTGTTTGAGCCTGGGTCCCCGGGGTCTGGCCTAGAACTGGGGTTCAGAGCAGTAGGAACTGGGGCCCAGCACAGTCGGAGCTTTTATCTCTTTCCCGCTAGGGAACATCAGCCAGGCACTCAGCCTCCCTCCTCTCTGGCTCCGTCCTCTCCGAGGGCCCCACGTGTCTCCGTACCTCAGGCTTTTACAGCTCCTCCGCGCTTCCTTCTAGTTTTCTCCTTGCTTCTCTTTGTAGAATTTCCATTCAGTCAACTTTCCTGTAGTTCTGGGTAATGTCCATTTTATATTTTAGTTGTATTTTATTGAAATTGTTGTGTGCGGCTGAGGCTAGGTGTTTACCTCGGCAACCATCTTGGATTCTCCAGGCATGTGCTCTTGACCAGAATCGAACCCACGACTCTTCAGTCTGCAGGTTGACACTCTATCCACTGAGCCAAACCGGCTAGGACCATTAGTTGATTTTTGTGTGTGCTCTGACAAGGGATAAAACCTGCAACCTTGTGTATTATAACAGTGCTGTAATCAACTGACCCCTGTTCTCTTTTGCATTTACTAAAGTGATCATGTGTTTTTTTTTATTATTTGTTTTATTAATATAGTATGTTACGTTAATTGATTTTCAGGTGTTTAGCCAACCTTGCAGTTTTGGGGTGAATTCTCCTTGATCATGGTATATAATCCTTTATATCATATATATAGCTAGGTTTAAGTTGCTAATATTTTATTGAGGATTTTTGCATATTTAATTATGAAGGATATTGGTCTGTCATATTGCTATCTTGTGATGTCTTGCTCTGGTTTTGGATCAGGATAATAATAGCCTCGTAGAATGAGCTGGGGAGTGTTACCCCCTCTATTTTCTCATCCATTTTCTTTTGAGGGGATAATTTATGGTCCTTTATGGGTGACTGTGAACAGTTCTCTGTTCTCTTCTCAATGCTGATTCTTTGCAAAGATGTCCTAGGATGTATGCCTGGAAGCTCAGTGTCATTGGCTGTGTCCATGGCCGTTTGCTGGTATGTGTGGCTCAAAAAGGGGCAGGTGCCTGGCATCCCTGAGACACCTTATCTGGTCACATCTGGCACTCACACCTGCAGGTGTTATCTCAGAGCTTCCCTGCAAGGATTGGGGGGCCTGCTCAACAAGCAGCTGGGATATCTGGTTGAGTGTGCTTCTCTCCCCCTTTTTTAACAGAGCCGCCACGAACCACAAGGTACGCGAGCAGGTGCGCCTAGAACTGAGCTTTGTGAACTCAGACCTGCAGATGCTCAAGGAAGAGCTGGAGGCGCTCAACATCTCCGTGGGAGTCTATCAGAGCACAGAGTAAGTGTGGGTAACGCTTCTCCAGGTGCTTTCTGGGCCTCGGGACGTGCCACACCACGAATGGCACGGACAGTCCGGGGGTGAGGAGTCCCCACTTCGGGAAGCAAGGGAATGATTAGGTTTAGGGTTGAGCAAGATGCCAGGGATGATCCTCTGGAGCTGGTTGGGAACATCTGGAGAATTGGACAGAAGGGCATTTATTTGTCCTGGGCCCGTTGGAACGTGGTCTATGGGAGAACTGCACGGCTGGATCCAGGCAAGGAGATGGCCTCTCTCACAGGAACTGGGTGCTCAGCCATAAAAATGCCCTGGAAGAGCTTTTGTGGTTAGCTCTGAGAGCCGACCTGCCAGGGAGGCCCAAGGTGCTCTTTCTTCTTCCCTTGATGCTCAGGCCTCACCACCAAGCACAGGGTCTGGATCTTTGTTGATAGAATGCAAAAATGTACAAACTGCCTTTCTTGTCAAAGATTAGGGGACTTGTGGGAGTTCCCTGAGGAAAAGCAACTGAGAGTTCAGAAATGCGCTTCGTTAAATATTTGAGGAGCGGATGTCTTCATTCAGAAGTGTCTCATGGGGAGTGTCTGTGTGAGGCGAGGTATTAAGGTGTGGCTTTCAGAAAGCTCAGGGAGTCTCTCACCCCATGGTGGGAACTGTCCATCTTTAAGGAGAAATCACTTTGAGAAGCTCAAAGAAGAGTTTGCATACTCTTCTGTGTGAGGAGGTGACACTTCTTAAAAGCTAGGGGAGCCCGAGGGGAAACTCAGTCAGAAAATTGATCCCTGGATTAACCGGAGGATGACATTTTGAAAACCTTGAGTCATCTTTGGAATGTGCTTTTCCTGATTGTCCCAGTCCTCTGCCCGCCACAGGTGTGTTTTTCTGAGCCGGAGAGAGAGTGTTAGCGAGTGAGACCTGTGACACCTCTGTTCTCCCTTTTGTGACGTCCGTGGGCCCTGGCTCACCCAGCTCTGGGCTCACAGTGTGGTTTTGGTCACCTAATCGGCACCAGTGCAGTGTTTCTCCCAGCCTGCACTCTGGTATTAAATTCCAGTGTTTTGCCCAAAAGGTCAAAGTTCCTCAAGGAGGCTAGGCAGGGCCACATTTTGGTGATAAATGGTGGATGCTTCCTATTCCCACCTGCTGTCCTGAAGCGCAATGAGGGAGACCTCCTACAGAGACATGCAGTTAAGGCTTCAATGTGTCTCTACCGTGGCCATTTGTCCCCGGGGCCATTGGGCAGAGGGGAGAGACATGCACATTCATAATGCCCCCTTGCATTTGAATCTGCCCTTCCTATTTTCAAAGCAGATTGCCTCTTTCTTAGTTGATCTTTAAACACTTCTGTGAGGTAGGCAAGGAAGAAACAATCTCATTGTGCAGATGAGAAACACAGGGAGGTCAGAGGTTAGTCCAAGAGTGGGGCTGGGGTGCCCTGGCCAGCAGGTTTCTGAGACAGGCACAGAAAGAGCAGACCTTGCCTCCAGCCCTGTGTGGGGTGAGAACGAGGATGCTGAGGACAGGGGAGGGGCATGCCCAGTCCTCATCTCCTTCCAGCGGGGTCCAGCTCTCCCTGCGGGTTTGGGGAAGCCACACGCCCCATTGGGTCTCACCTGCTTTGAGCACAGCCCCTTGTTTTCCCTCCAGCACAGAGACAGTCTCAGCTTACAGCTGCATTGTCCATTCACCCTGCTTAGCATTCCTGGCCTTCTCCCCTGGCTGGGCTGGGCAGCCCCGGGAGGTCTCCTGTTACAGGTCAGGGAGCTAAATCCCTGTTTGCAGAGCACAGCCTGAGCCAGGTTCACTTCCTGTTGGCCCTGCCCCTAAGAACTAGGCTCAGGGTGCACTCCCAGGGTAACCTGTGAGGTAACCAAGTAGTCAGTTTCGGGGGGAGGGGGTGGAGGGGAAGCAGCTGGCCAGGGCCTGACCCTGGGCTGGGAGCTCGGAGCACTTAGTTGTCAGATGGGGCATCTACCCTCAAGGCCTTCCTCATGCGGTGATGAGACACCTAGAGAGGCCTACGCCAAGGAGGACACAACTGAGAGCCCAGGGATGAGGCTGCAGGAGAGGTGGGACCCAGGGCAGGCCCTGGCACATGGTAGGTTCTCAGCACAGTTACTGAAGGAAGGGTTGGGATTGGAGGGATAAACTGATTGAGATGGTGGAAGGCTCTTGTGTGTCAGACTGGGACCAGGACACAGATGTGTCCAGAGCTGCTTTATGGAAAATGAACTGGTGTTCGGGGTTGATGTGAGGAGGGGGTGGGTACAGAGTGGCCAGTATAGGAATGTTCACAAACCAAGGAACTGTGCTTCTCGTAGGGAGACGTTTACAATCCCGCTGATTCCGCTCGGCCTGAAGGAAACCAAAGATGTTGACTTCTCAGTCGTTCTCAAGGTAAATCTCAAAGCAATGGGAGCTGGAATCACTGTTTTCTTAAACACCCGTGTCCCTGAGCAGGGTGCTGGTGTGGTGGCTGCTGGGTTCAGGTGGGAAATGGGAGAAGTACTCCGATTAGAGACGTAGAAATTTAGGCTCCCATTGGTTTCGGCAGGGTGCGCCTGAGCCCCCTCGGCAGGCCGCACAGAGAACCTAACACCGGCTTCTGGAATTCTTTAGTCACCCTGAGGCCAAGCCAAAGAGTCTGTGGTGCCTTGTATGTATGGCCCCAGAGAGTAGGGTGCTGAAGACCTGGGGCAAAGGGCGGGTGTGCTGGAGGTGTCAATAGAGAAATTAGGAGACATATGTAATACTTTCAATGATAAGGATTTATTTATTTATTTTTAAAAGGGTCTGTGGTAGGCATGCTTTGGAATTAAAAAATTGTATCCTATTTTAGTATTTTTTTTGTTGTTAAATTTTGTAACTGAGATAGCCATATTTTTTGGGAAATAGCTAAATATTTTTCCTAAACGTTTTATTATGAAAATTTCCAAACTTACAGGAAAGATGAAAGAATTTTACAGTGGACTTCTATATATTCACTACCTAGATTCTACCATGAACATTTTACTATGGTTACTTTCTCACAGATTTATCCATTTCTGCATCCTTGTGTCTGTATACCAACTCATTTTTGTTTTTTAAAATATATTTTTTATTGATTTCAGAGAGGAAGGGAGAGGGAGAGAAAAATAGAAATATCAATGATGAGAGAGAATTACTGATTGGCCTCCTCCTGCATGCCCCACACTGGGGACCGAGCCTGCAGCCTGCTTATATGCCCTGATCAGAATTGAACCATGACCTCCTGGTTCATAGGTTGATGCTCAACCACTGAGTCACACTGACCAGGCTCATCTTATTTTTTGATGCACTTCAAAGTAAATCAAAGATGCTGGTTTTCACTATCCTTAAAAACGTGAATAACTAGAATTTATGGTGGTTGTTTTTCCTCCACCCAATTTCTTTCTTTTTTTTAAAAATATATTTTATTGATTTTTTACAGAGAGGAAGGGAGAGAGATACAGTTAGAAACATCGATGAGAGAGAGTCATCGATCAGCTGCCTCTTGCACACCCCCTACTGGGGATATGCCCGCAACCAAGGTACATGCCCTTGACCGGAATCGAACCCGGGACCCTTCAGTCCCCAAGCCGACGCTCTATCCATTGAGCCAAACCGGTTCTGGCCCTCTACCCAATTTCTATTTTCTCTCCCCCTGCTCCTTTTCTTCCTTTGTCCTTTCTTTGCTTCTTTCTTTTTTAAAAAATAATTTTTTTATTGAGATATAAATTGTATACCATACAACTCACCTCTTACAATTGAACAGTATGTGGTTCCTTTTGACTGTGTCTCTGCCAGGCAGACCATACCGGTAGGCCCACCTGTGCCTGCCACCGAGCTGGATGCTGGTGTGTCAAGGCCCTGCCCGCTGGGTTCAGGGGGGAAGTTCAGGTTGGAGGCAGCAGGAAATGCCTCGCCTGCAGGCTGGTGCCAGGAGAGCCTCCTGAAACCTGGAATACCCTCCTGTTTCTCCCTCCCGCTCCCTCAGTCTGAGTTTTAACACATCACCTCAGACTTCCAATTAGGAGGAGAAAGTGGAGATGGGGTGGAAGGTAGTGCCTGTCTCTGAGCTTTTCAGCACAGGCCTGGCATATAGGAGTTAATCCCAGCAGCATGAAGAAGTGCTTCAAAGAATTAAGTTTCTTTTCATAGTAATCCTAGTGACTCATTCTGGACTAATTTTAGTTTAGAAAAGAAAAAATTATATGGTATTTGGGGCACTATAGCATTTGTCCTTTTAAAAGCAGTCAGTTAATGCTTTGAAAGCTTCTGCACTTGACTTCCCTTCTGGAGCAGAGACTGTGTCTCACTTGACCTAAGCCCTTTCACTCCGGACCTTTTTGCCTGCAGCCCTGTGTAATCTGGTGCAGGTCCCTGTGAGTCGGGGGTTCGTTTTGGAGCTTGAGAAGGACATTGGTAGCTTGCAAGGCCTGGTATCACCAGAGATGGAATTATCTGGGTAGAAAACACAGTTTTATGCCAGTCTTGCACAGGCTACTTGAACTTTTAGATGGGATACTGTGACAGGCCCGACACTTAAGACTGTCTGTCTGTGGAAATGTCTTCAGTTGCTTTTGTAGGATAATTTTCTTAAGATTTAATTTGTTACTTGGTGCTAGAGCTGCAAGAGTGTAGGCATTTTAAAGGGAGAGTCTTGAGAAACTTGGAAATTTTATGGGCATCTGTAAGGATTCAAACATGTCACATGCTGAATTCCACATTAAAGCCAATGGGGGAAAAATCACCTGCTGTGGGCATGGCCAACTACTATTCAGCTGAGGCTCCCAACCATGTCATTTCAGCCTAAAAGGGACTCGACAAGTGTCAGTCAGACAAAAATTAGAACGTTTGGGGACATTCTGTTTTCTCCCTTCCACATTTGTGCGTCAGAGTAACAGACAGGTGCTGCCGAAATAGCTTGCCTGGCTTCATTAGGGCAGTGGTCGGCAAACTCATTAGTTAACAGAGCCAAATATCAACAGTACAACGATTGAAATTTCTTTTTGAGAGCCAAATTTTTTAAGCTTAAACGTCTTCTAACGCCACTTCTTCAAAATAGACTGGGCCAGGTCGTGTTATTTTGTGGAAGAGCCACACTCAAGGAGTCGCATGTGGCTCGCGAGCCGCAGTTTGCCAATCACTGCATTAGGATAATTCAGATGTTCTTCAAATCCGTCATATGTGTGTGTGTGGCGTTTAAAGCCTTACGATGTGATATTTGGTATTATTGTAAAGAAATGGGCTTTAAAATGGTCTCATTAAAAAGCACCATCAGGTCTGGCCAGTGTGGCTCGTTTAACCTATAGTTGAGCATTAACCTCTTAACCAGAAGGTCATGGTTTCATTTCCGGTCAGGGCACATCCTGGATTTCAGGCAGATCCCTATTAGAAGGCATGCAGGAGACAGCCAGTCAATGATTCTCTCGCATCATTGATGTTTCTATCTCTCCCTTCCTCTCTGAAATCCATAAAATTTTATATAAAAATAATTTGTTATGAGCACCATCAAACCACATTCTCTTCCCTGACAATTCAAGTTGTGGTTTTTGCTTTAAAATAGATCTTTATTTATTTTTCTAATTAAAAACACTAATCCAGAACATTCAGAAAATACCAAGACATGGAGGGATCCCTCAGAGCCCACTGCCTCTCCCCAATAACTTGCTCAGCATTTAATCTTTGGACACCTGTGCGCTTCCTCTGATTTTGGGGGAAATGTGACTCCTCCCTTCCACGAGAGCTTGTGTGGTGGCTCCTTGAGCTAAATAAGACAGCTATTAATTTCCTTCTTTAGGCAGCTCCCACCAGCAGTTCTCCGTGAGCTTCTTCACACACCTCGCTGAACATTCCCTTTGGATAAAGTCCTGGGTGTGAATCTGGCAGGTCAAGCATACATATTATATTATGTAACTTCCCCCCAGAAATGGTCCTCCTATGTTCCTCACAGTGTGTAACTGCTGGTCTTCCTGCACCGTTGGCTATACTCGGTATCATTCATCATTTTGATTTTAAAAACTATCTTTTTTATTTTTGTGAACTCAAGGCAGAAGTGATACCTTATTAAAGTTTGCACTTCTTTGATCAGAAATAGACTTGAGTACCTTTTTGTGTATGTGTATGTGGCCCTTACATTTCTCTTTATCAAACTGAGTATTACTGTCCTTTGCTTTCCATAGTGTTGCTCTTATTACATAAAACAGCTTTGTGGTTTTAATTTTTTAAATTAATTAATTAATTAATTTTTAAATATATTTTATTGATTTTTTTTACAGAGAGGAAGAGAGAGAAATAGAGAGCTAGAAACGTCGATGAGAGAGAAACATCGACCAGCTGCCTCCTGCACACCCCCTACCGGGGATGTGCCCGCAACCAACGCACATGCCCCTGCCCGGAATCGAACGTGAGACCCTTCAGTCTGCAGACCGACGCTCTATGTGGTTTTATTTTTTTTAAAATATATTTTATTGATTTTTAACAGAGAGGAAGGGAGAGAGATAGAGAGCTAGAAACGTCAATGAGAGAGAAATATCGGCCAGCTGCCTCTTGCACACCCCCTACCGGGGATGTGCCTGCAACCAATGTACATGCCCTTGACCGGAATCGAACCTGTGACCTTTCAGTCTGCAGACCGACGCTCTACCACTGAGCCAAACCGGCTTCGGCTGGTTTTATTTTTTAACATGTTCAGGGTAGTAACTCTTAGTGTTATATATTGCTAATATTTCTCTCAGTACATTCTTTAACTTTTTTTTTTTTTTAACTATGAGGTGACTAACATTTTTTATTTATTTTTTATTTTTTTATATTTTTATTGATTTCAGAGAGGAAAGGAGAGGGAGAGAGAGTGTTAGAAACATCAATGATGAGAGAATCATTGATGGGCTGCCCCCTGCATGCACCCTTGTAGGGATCGAGCCAAAACCTGGGCATGTGCCCTTGACTGGAATCAAACCTGGGACCCTTCAGTCCACAGGCTGATGCTCTATCCACTGAGCAAAACCAGCTGGGCATCTTTCCTTTAACTTTTGTTATATAAGCAACAACCAGTTTAAAAAAAACACTATTTTTCTTCATAAAATCAACAGATTTTATGTTGTTAAAGTTATCAGTTCTTCTCTTTGCAATCTGCCTGGTTGGCATCTCTAGAAAGGTATTCTCTCTATGCCAAGATGTCATAAATATTTTGCTATTGTTTCTCTTCCTGCTCTGTTTAAAATTTTTTACACCAAATCTTTCATCTGTCTGGAATTTGTTTTGGTGTAAAATGTGTGGTGAAGGCTTTGACTTCTTATTTTCACCAAATAGGCAGCCAGTTTCCCAGATACTGTGTGTAAAGAATCCATCTGTGGTGCTGGGAGATATGTTTTCCTCCTTCCCTCCACCCCCCACCACCCGGCTCTGTGCCAGGGAGACAGCGACCAGCTCCCGCTCTGTGGTTTCTTATTGGGTGTGGCCAGCGGGGAGGGGCACCAGCCTGAGATGAGAGGATGGGAAGAGAGGGAAGTTGGGCATTTATTCCCAGCTCTCTCAACTGGCTTCCTTTGTTGTTGTTGTTGTTGTTCTTAATCCTCACCCGAGGATATTTTTCCATTGATTTTTAGAGAGAGTGGAAGGGAGAGAGGGCGGAGGGAGGAAAAGAGAATATGAGAGAAACATAGATGTGAGACACATTAATTCCCTCTTGAATACACCCCAACCCTGGGGATTGAATCTGTAACCCAGGTATATGTCCTTGACTGGGAGTTGAACCTGTGACCCTTCAGTGTGTGGGCCAATGCTCTAACCACTGACCTTCGCTGGCCAGGGCTCAACTGGCTTCCTTTTGCATTCCCCGTAGGGAAGGTCATGGTGGCTGTTCAGAAACCACCTCAGGTAGCCACCTCTCTGGGTTTCCAAAGATTCTTCTCTCCCTACGTTCTTTAGCTCTGGGGTTCTAATGGCCTGAGGTCCCACGCCATCCGTACCACCCGTATAGCTCTTTCCTTAAACTCACAGCAGTCACACCATTTGTGTGTGCCTCCTCCTCCTTCCTCCCTGAATCTGTTGGATGCTTCAGCCTTCCCCACTTCCTGGAATTCTTGCTTTAGTTATATACCTGGTTCTTGAATTTGCTTCAGTCTGTTTCAGACCCATATCTGGTTTCATTGTCCATTTCTCACTGTTTAACCCCTGTGTGTTTCAACACTTTGTAACTAGAGCAAGACTCCATTATTACTGTGCTTTTCAAAAACGTTCTTAGCTTTTCTTTCACATTTTTACTCTCATACTTTGTCAAGTTTTGCAAACTTTTTGGGTTTTAATTGAAATTCATTAGAATTATAGAATCAAATTTAATTTGGACAAACATGCACCTTACAGTGTTGCACATTTTCATCCATGAGTATATTTCTAATTGTTGCTGTCAACAAACGGCAAGTTTATGGGGGCAGAAACCACATCTATCTTATTTAAATGATTTTATGTATGAGCCCAACCACTGTGGCCCAGTGGTCTATGATCTATAATCCAGGAGGTCATGGTTTGATTTTTGGTCAGGGCACATACCTGGGTTGCAGACTCAATCCTCAGTGTGGGGCATGCAGGAGGCAGCCAATCAATGATTCTCATCATTGATGTTTCTATCTCTCCCTCTCCCTTCCTCTCTAAAATCAATTTAAAATTTTTTAAATGATTTTATGAATTAAATGAAAGAATGACATAACTAATGTCCATCAAAGTTTAATAATTACCTGCTTAATTACATTATTATTTAGAAAGTGTGTAAAGAAAATCCTCATAGACACTTGGGAAACATAATTACACAATCTCTCCTCACATTTAAAAAAAAAAAAAAAAAAATATATATATATATATATATATATATATATATATATATATATATATTATTGACTTTTTTACAGAGAGGAAGGGAGAGGAATAGATAGTTAGAAACATTGATCAGCTGTCTCCTGTACACTCCCTACTGGGGATGTGCCCGCAACCAAGGTACGTGCCCTTGACCGGAATCAAATCTGTGACCCTTCAGTCCACAGGCCGCCGCTCTATCCATTGAGCCAGATCAGTTAGGGCTCTCCTCACCTTTCTCGCAGCCCGGGAGAGCCGGTGCTCACAGAGGAAGTGTGCAAGAATGTGCTCTCCACCCCTCCCCTCCATACTGCTCTTGTTTTTCCCTGTAATACTTGCCATCTTCTAATGTACCGTGTAATTTACATATTTGTTGTGCCTGTTACTTATTGTCTGTGTTCCTGAGAGAATATAAGCTCCACTGGGCAGGATCTTTGTTTTGTTCACTGATGTAGCCCAGGCACTGGGAACATGCCTGGCACAGGCCCATGCTCATCAGCAGTGCCCTGTGACTGAGTGAGCTCAAGCTCTGGGCAGTGGGCCCAGTGAGAAGTCTCTGCGGGGCTTCATTTGTGGACGTGCCAGAGCTGCTGTCACACGCTCACTGCACAGGCCTTGAGGGTAGCATCCTCCAGGCACAGGTTTCCTTTTCCAGGAAGACCCTGTGCCCAGGTACGGAGGGAGTCCAGAGGGTGCAGATCTGAGCCCCTGAATATCTGCGACATTTACCAGAATCATTTGATGTTCAGGTCACTTACCTGTGTTGCAAAGACATTTTTTAGAAATAATAATATCAGCTTTCCTTTTTATTGAAACAACAAAAGCAAAAATTTTAAACACACATAAAGACAATTAAGAAAATAAACCCTATCACTCAGAAAATTATGGTAGTGTACAATCTCTCATAAGTTTCTTTGTATTCTACATGTATTTTTATTTTATTTTTTTAAAAGACTTTCTTTTTTAAATATATTTTTATTGATTACATAGAGGAAGGGAGAGGAGAGAGACATAAAAACATCAATGATGAGAGAGAATCATTGATTGCCTCCTACACGGCCCCCACTGGGGATTGAGCCTGCAACAGGCATGTGCCCTTGACCAGCATCAAACCCAGGCAACACTCTATCCACTGAGCCTAACTTGCTAGGGCTACATGTATTTTTCAAGTGAGCACATTAGACATTACTCTTTTACCTCATTATGTTTTGAATCAGACCTCATCTCCATTTTATCTTACAGGATTTTATTCTGGAACACTACAGTGAAGACAGCTACCTATATGAGGATGAAATAGCAGATCTGATGGATCTGAGACAAGTACGTGTCTTTATGCAGCAGGGAGGGTAAGCTGGCTGCGGGAGCTTGTGAGTCTTCAGAATATTCTCCCTATTGCATTTGAAGTCTTATGGAATCGCAGATGGAGGTGATCGGGAGGGGCTGTTGGAATAGTCTGTTCTTCTTATAACATAAGGCCACAGAAGGGAAGAGGCCTGCCCACTGGCATGGCTGGGGCTCGATTCTGGCACTCTGGAGTTCATCCCAGCCCTCGCACCCCTCCTGGAGTTCATGATACCAATAGCAGGGCCAACCTGCAAGAAAGAGCACGTGTGAGCCCCTTCCAGCTGTGTGTTCCCTCCTCACCCCGCGGTGCTGGTTCCTTTCCTTGCAGGCTTGTAGGACACCCAGCCGGGACGAGGCTGGGGTTGAGCTGCTGATGAGTTATTTCCTCCAGTTGGGCTTTGTTGAGAGCCGGTTCTTCCCGCCCACCCGACAGATGGGGATCTTGTTTACGTGGTAGGTGCCTGGGCCTGGGCCTAGGGCTGGTGCTGGGGCTGCCCGCCTTCGGTCACTGCTTGGAGCCTGGGCGCCACAGAGGCTCCTCTGCACTGTGGGCCCCTCTCTCTCATTCTCCCCTTTACGCAGCACATGTAGATAAACTAGTGGTTATTTCCAAGGGGACTCGAAGGGAGAAGCCTGCAACAGACTTTGCCTTTTGCTTCTCAGAACAAGTGAGCCAAGGAGAAGAGGCATTTTTTTCTTGCTCATTTTATCCTGGGGAAACACGGGGGCTCCGAAGTGGAACTAACAAGAAGCAAGATTCTTGTCCCAGATGAGGTGGGGGCTGGGAATCAGGTTTTGTCCCAATGACGAGGGTGCAAACAGAAATAGATCAAATAAAAAACAAAGCTGAATCCTTAAGATTAGTGTTGCTGAAATACTTTACAGCTGCTGTGCCTGTTCTGAGTGGGGGTGAGAGGAGACTAAGTCCCGGCAGGGAGGGTTAAATTCAGAGTTAAATTATCCCACTGCAGGCCCACACGATGCCTGTCCTGGGAAAGGAAGGGCAGGTGGCTGTAGAGATGCTGTTAGCTGTCTGCTGGGAAGGTGCTAACGGTGATTTCACCTCAGTCTTAAATTAACAAGAAGCTCCATGCCTACCTGCTGGTTGATGTGTGAACTTTAAAACAAATCCTAAATCTTTTAGACTTGAGCAAGAATTATGAGGGATTTGTATTTCGATTAGGAGAAGCCTTATCTTTTTTAAATATGTATTTTAGTACAGTTTTGGATCCACAGCAAAATTGAAGGGAAGGTACAGAAATTTCCCATATACCTCCTCCCCCACACAACACACCCTCCCCAACATCAACCACCAAAGCAGTATGTTGACTTGCTACAGTTGGCACAGCATCACCCAGAGTCCATAGTTGACATTAGGGTTCACTCTTGGGGTTGTACATTCTATATGGGTTTGGATAATGCATAATGACAAGTATCTACTATTACAGTATACAGAGTCCTTTTACTGCCCTAAACATGGGTTTTTTGTGCTCCACCTATTTGTGTCCCCTCCTCTGCCCCTGCCATTCCCCTCTGAAACTCTGGCAACCACTGATTCTTTCTGTCTCCACTGTTTTGCCTTTTCTAGAATGTCATATAGTCGGAGTCAGACAGTAGGTAGCCTTTTCTGATTGGCTGCTTTCACGTAGCAAAATGCATTTAAAGTTCCTGCATGTCTTTTATGGCTGGATAGCTTTTTTCTTTTTAGTGCTGAATAACAGTCTACTGTATGGATGTACCACAGCTTGTTTATTCATTCACCCGCTGAAGGGCATCTTGGTTGTGAAACTTTACTTTTGTGTGCTGTTGTGCGTCTCCAGTGTGATCAGGCCCATCATCTTGTTTGGAAATGAAGGCCTCATTGCATGTGCATTTTTGAATTTATTCAAGAAATAAGTTTTGTCCTTTTTTTTTTTTTACCCCCAAATGGTGTTAACTAGCCAAGTAATCTGTATTCTCACAACACATTTCTTTTAAATAGGTATGACTCCCTCACCGGGGTTCCGGTCAGCCAACAGAACTTGTTGCTGGAGAAAGCCAGCATTCTGTTTAACATTGGAGCCCTCTACACACAGATCGGGACCCGGTATAACCGGCAGACACCAGCTGGGCTGGAGGGTGCGATGGATGCGTTTCAGAAAGCCGCAGGTGTGTCTACGAGAGGGCTGCTGTGTACCCCAACTGAAGTGGGTCTGTGGGTCCTTCCCAGGTCTCATGGGCCTGAAAGTTTCCAGCACAGCTGTAATTTCCCTCCAAGGGAATTCCTTAAAATTTTACACCCTGTTGGCCCTGTCTGGGTCTGGGTTATGGCTCATGTGCACCATGAATCCTATGGTTAACAATTAATCCTTTCTAAATGAGTGGCCCTAAGGGTGGCAGTGAATGGAGTGTTCCTATGAGCACTGTACTGAAGAACAGAGTAGTGAAAACAGGCTTTTAAAAAAAAATCATGTGTGCCTCATTGGTGCCTGTTACTACTTATGCCTTTATATTTTGCTGATTCTTTGAAGCCCACCTAAGGTTGCTCTTCTTGGCCCTTGATCAAGTGTCACTTTTTACCAACCTGGGGAGCACCAGGGTGAGAGGCCTGTGCAGTGAATGGGTCCCAGGTGGTGTCCAGGAGTCCCCTCAAGCAGGGCCTGTGCCGGGAGCAGACAGCCTGCCACGGGAGCAGACAGCCTGCCACGGTTGCCATCTTTCTGTAGCGCGGTCTGTGCTTTGTGGTAAAACCAGAGGAACCAGTCCGATGGGATTCATGGTTGAGATTTTATTTTAGCTCCAGGTTGATGTCTGTTTATGTTGTGACAGTTAATTTTCTAAAGCATAAAAAAAAAAAAAAAAAAAAAAAAACCAAGCGGAGGGCCACAGCTTGAAAATTTCCATTGGAATGGGCTGCGCTGATCCTTCCTGCTTCCTGGGCAAAAGCCCTGAATTTCTGAAAGACCAAGTGTTCAATGTCCTCCCGAGAGCCCTCAGTCATTCCTGCCTCCTGCTTTGCCTTCCTCTGAAGTCAGGTTTGGACTTTCTCCCAATCATCCCAGGAGCACAGCAATGGACGGGAGCCAGGCTGGTTTCCTTTCTTAATACAGATGTAAATGTTTTGGAAGAGAGCACTATCTTTTTTCTTTCTTTCTTTTTTTTGAGAGAGAATTTTTATGAGTTTATTTGAGCCAAACTGATGACATTGCCAGGAAGCAAGATCTCAGATGCTCCCTATCATTTTGTAAACTGTGGTAAAAGATACATAACAAAATCACCATTATAATAATTTTTTAGAATACGGTTCATTAGCATTAAGTACTTTCACATGGTTGTACAACTATCTATCTACAGGGATTTTCATCATCCCAACTGAAACTCTGTTCCTATTAAACAGTAACTCTCAAAAACAAACACAAAAAAACAAACACACAAAAAAACAGTAACTCTCCATTCCCTCTCCTCCCCAGCCTCTGGCAAACACCATTCTATTTTTGTCTGTATGAATTCCAGTCTATTCCACACAACTCATCTCAGTGGAATCATGCAATATGTGTTCTTATGATTATTTCACTTAGCATAATGTCTTCTTCCATATTGCAGCATGTGTCAGAATTTCCTTCCATTCTAAGGCTGAAAAATACCCCATTGCATGTTTATAGCGCATTTTGTTTATCCATTAATCCATCAATGGACGTGTAAGTAGTTTCTGCCTTGTGGCTATTGCAAATAATGATGCCATGAATGTCGTTGCACAACTACCAGTTTAGTCCCTGCTTTCAGTTCTTTGGTGTGTTTCCCTAGGAGTGGAATTGCTGGATCTTACTGTGATTGAAAAACAGATTTTTTTTAAAGATGCTTCAGGATCCCACTTTTGTATTTTTGCTTCTCTGTATTTCTGAGTAGCATGGTGAAATAAATATGATCCCCAACTAATGTGCAAAAATAATTCCAATTGTAGGGATTTTAAACTACCTGAAAGAGACATTTACTCATACACCGAGCTATGACATGAGCCCCGCCATGCTCAGCGTGCTGGTCAAAATGATGCTTGCACAGGCCCAAGAAATCGTGTTTGAGAAAGTCTGCCTCCCTGGGATCCAGAATGAGTTCTTCATGCTGGTGAAGGTGGCTCAGGAGGCTGCCAAGGTAAGCCTTCCTGGTTCTTGAGGCTCACAGAGCGGGCAGGATGCGTTGGTGCGGGCTCATTGGAAGTAGTGGGCTTCCCGTGGCAGCTGCCTGTGACTGGGCAGAGTGCCATCCTGGCCACAGTGCTGGCTTGCATTTTCTTGGCAAGCAGTGGCGTTTCAGATATGGATCACTGATTCCATCTGCAGCTTGGCCTAAAAACCGGCATAATGACAGTTGCCTGATCTCCCTGTTAGCTCTGACACTGACAGCATGAAGCATCCTTGGAGTCGCTCCCAGATTGTGGAGCGGTCTCTGGCAGGGGCTGCTGCATAGAAGAAAGGGCTCTTTTTCCTCATCCCGGGTACGTGAGGGCTCCTGTGCCAGGCTCCCCCTCCCCAGCATCCCTTCCGTTGCAGGTGGGAGAAGTCTATCAGCAGCTGCACGCGGCCATGAGCCAGGCGCCAGTGAAGGAGAACATCCCCTACTCCTGGGCCAGCGTGGCCTGCGTGAAGGCCCACCACTACGGAGCCCTGGCCCACTACTTCGTAGCCACTCTCCTCATCGACCACCAGTGTAAGGCTTGGGGACTGGGGGCTCTGGGCTTCGGTCAGGGTTGTGTTTTTCCTGCTTCCAGGAGATTATGAGCTGGACAGGGGCTGTCCGTGTGCCCTGGAGAAGCTCGCAGCTTAGGGGCTGAGGGTAGGAAGTACATGTTAGTCCAAATAGCGGTCACATAGGCCAGGGTGCGATTAGGCATTAATGTGTTTCCGCTGTGGGAGGAAAGGGGAAAGTGTTGATTCTGCCTGGGATGGAGCAGGAGATGTTAAGGAGATCTAGAACAGGGTGAGGACCAGGGCACGGACCAGGAGGCATTTGTCTGAGGCACAAAATCTAAGGGAATGCCCTAGAACTCAATAATCAAGATAAAATTGTAATGTGACATTTTAAATGAATCAAAATTAATGCAAAAAAATTCATGGTGATAATTTTATTAAAATTGACTTGAGAGAGAGAGGAAAGGGGAGGGAGAGAGAAACATCGATTGGTTGCCTCCCATATGCATCCTGACTGGGAAAAGACCCTGCAACCTAGTATGTACCCTGACCAGGAATTGAACCCACAAACTTTTAGGGTACTGGACAGTACTCCAATTGAGCCACACCAGCCAGAGGTGATCAAAATATTAAATAAAGATGGGGGCCCTGGCTGGTGTGGCTCAGTTGGTTGCAGTGTCCCATGCACCGCAGGGTCGTGGGTTCAATGCCCAGTCACAGCATGTACCAGGTTGCGGGTTCGATTGCTGATCAGGTGCATATAGGAGACAACTGATCGATATCTCTCTTCCTCTCTCTCTCTCTCTCTCTCTTCCCCCCCTTCCTATGTCTCTCTCAAAAAAAAAAGTATAAACAAACAAATAAATAAATGAATAAGGGATTGGTTACTGTGCTATTCTGAAGCAAAAAGAAATTTTGATTTTTTGTTTACATGGATTTTTTGCATCGATTTTGATATTTAGAAACTTGTATTAAACAATTATATACTTTTTGAGATTTTGGCACCCCCTTCAATTTTCAGCTGGAGGTGAGTATGTCCCTCTTCTCACCCTCGTTTTGGCTCTGATCTCAGGTCGGTGGGAATTTTGTTGTAATTAGTACTAATCAAGGCACCCCCCAGTATAACCAAGAGAATAACCTCTGGAGCCAGACTCCCTGTGTTCATATCTTAGCTCTGCCATTAATAGCTGTGTGACCGTGGGCAGATTACTTAGCTGCTCTATGCCTCAGTTTTCTCACCTTTAAATGAGGATACGAAGGGGACCTAACTCACAGGGCTGTTGTGAAGACAGTGCCCATGTGTAAAGCTAAATAGTGCCTTGTATGTCGGTGGGCTCCCTAAATGTGTCAGCTGCTACTTCCTGCTGGTGTATTATGTAGTCTGCCAGGCAGGTGCGCCAGGTGAACCAACGCAAATATAGTGCTTCAGTGGAGGCAGCAGAGACCGCCAGTCACACTGCTGTGGTAGTGACTTCTTGGTAGAGTAATGGACAGTTTTTCATTTGAGTTGGACTTTGAGCTCTTAGGAGGACTTTTTTTTTTTTTTTTTTTTTTTTTAGCTGATCAAGGAAGGAAAGAGCAGCTGCCTGAGCTCTGACATGGAGGCCAAAAGTGTTGAGCGTAGTAGGGAGTGATTTGGTGAGGTTAGAGGGAGACATGTTCCAGGGGCTGTGCAGGCACAGAGGCCAGCAGAGGTTTGAGGCAGGGCTGTGATAGGAGGTTCCTTGAAGTGGGTGGGTTGGAGGGGTTGAAAGCGGGACCTCAAAACCAAATTATGAGCCCTAAATATGCAAGGACTTGTGGAGCTTATCCAAGGGCAGGAAGGAGACCTGTTATCCCAAGTGCCTTCTAAAAGCTGAAGATGTGGTTGGAAGAGAAACCTCTAAATGGGTCTGTGGCACCATCTCCGGAGCCCTCAGCCATGTGCACGGGGAGGGACTCATCCTGGGGCTCTTGTTGCAGTGAAGCCGGGTGCAGACGAGGACCACCAGGAGAAGTGCCTGTCCCAGCTCTACGACCACATGCCAGAGGGGCTGACGCCCTTGGCCACGCTGAAAAACGCTAGCCAGCGCCGGCAGCTGGGTGTGTATGGGCTCTCCTGCTCCCTCCCTTCTGGCCCCATTTGTTGCCCAGCTGGTCCTGCTCACAGAGCCTCAGACATGTCTCCAGGGCAAGGCTTGGAGAGCAGAATTCCAGAGTCATTGTGGCCATTGTGGGCTCAGAAACCATGAGGCGTAGTCCTCTCCTCTCTGCGGGCTTCCAGAGCTGTGTTCTCACAGGTTCCGCGAGGGCCCAGTCCTCCCAGTGGACAGCTTTGACAGTCTTCCATCACCCCTCAGGTGGAAGGACGGACACAGTAGTTCATTTTCTCAGGTCACACCTGAGAACTGGTAATGAATTGTCCTGGCTTGGTCTCTACCAAGTCTCACTACCACCCCTCCCCTTACCTACCCACCCGGCCACATAGTTTCCCCATCTCAGTGATGGCAACTGCATCCTTCTAGGTGTGCAGACCACAAACCTGGACTCACTCTGTTCTCTCTCCCCACAACTGATTAGCAAATCCCATTGACTCTACCTAGAAAGCCAGCTGTTTCTCACCCTACACCCTGATCCAAGCCACACTCATATAGTACTTACTAAACTGACGTAGAGTTGCTACAATCCTATGAGATAGATATGGCATGATCTCCATATTTCAGTCGAGGAAATAGTCCCAGAGAGGTTACACAGCTTGCCCAGCTATTTGCAGAAGCCTCATAGCTGATCTTCCTGCTTTTCTCTTTGCTCCTTCATAGTCCATTCACAAGGTTAAGTCACATCAGTCCCCTGCTTACACCCTGATGGGCTCCCACCTCACAGTATGAGCTAAGTCCTTACCCTGCATGGACTTGGTTCAGCCCCTGCTCCTCTCTGCCCTCACTACCCTTCTCTGCCTCACTCCCAAGCGCCTTGCCCTTGAACGCATAGGCATGGTCCTGCCCCAGGGCCTTTGCACTTGCTGTTTCTTCTTTCAGGAATGCTCTTCTGATAGATATCATCATGGCTTCTTCCTTACTTCCTTCAGGGCTTTATTCAAAAGTTATCTTCAAAAAGGTCTTACCTGATCACCCATCATAGAAGAGCAACTTTCCATTCCCAGTCTTCTCTTGCCACATCTGCCTACCCAGATTCACATTTCTCCATAGCCTGATTGCCATACATTCCATCGCATACTGCTTTGTTAATTATCTGTCTTCAGCCATGAGCATGTAAGCTCCATGAATGCATTGCTTTATCTCCACTGCCTAGAACATTCAGAGAATATATGGTGAATGGCTGTTTTATGTACATAAATGAGCACATTGCACGTGCACTTTAGAGAGACTTAAGCCATCTGGGCAGATTCTTCAAAAAAGAAAATGCCCACCTTTCTGGGCTGGTCCTTAGGCACTTTGGCTTTCCTGGAGGTACTCGTGCTGCAATGTCACATGGTGTTGCTTTCCTGTTGGCAGGCAAGTCCCATCTGCGCAAAGCCATCACCCATCACGAGGAGTCCGTGAGGGGCGTGAGCCTGTGCAAGAAGCTCCGTAATATCGAGCTGCTGCAGGAGGTGCTGTCCGCGGCACACCAGCGATCCCAGCTCAAGTACACTCAGCACCAGGAGGACGATGACCTGCTGAACTTGATGGATGCTCCTGACGTTATTTGTGAGTGATCTGGGTGCCTGTGCCAGGTACCGAGTATGCCCGGTGTGAGGAACAGTGACACGTGGGGCACACTGCTTTTAGTAACTCACTCTGCAGGGGCTGGGCACTGGGAGGAGCAAAATGCTCCTTGTGCCCGAATCCAGGGTTTGTTTGTTTTTTATAGTCTTGTCCTTGACAGCCCTTAGTGGCTTCTGACGCCCCTCCTGCCCCTTGCTGCTCCTCACGGTGTCCGGGTGCCTGTCACCTTGTCCATTCTCACGTCCCTTTCCACCCCCTATGCTGACTTTTCCTCCTCTGGATTCCTTTCCTTAAAGTCGCCCAACCTCTTTGGGGTTCCAGTCATCACCTCCACTCAGGAGACTCCCTTTCGTGTTGACATTTTTGCTGCTTTACACCACCCACATTCCATCTTGTATAACTTCGATATCTGCCGTTTACAACTGGTTTTATCAAACCTTTTATTGGTTTGAAAACCAATGCATCCTTATTCTCTCTTCTAGGCTTGCTCCTTCTCCTGTTTACTCCATCTTTTATTAGCACCAACATGTATTTTTCTTCAGAGACAAAAGTTATTTTTATTATGAATTGGCACCTAAACCTTTCATTGATATAGTAGAACCAGGGGATACAGGAAGAATTCTTCAAAACCTAGTTCATCGAGCCATAGCTGGTTTAGCTCATTGGATAGAGTATCAGCCTGCAGACTGAAGGGCTCCAGGTTCAATTCCAGTCAAGAGCACATTCCCAAGTTGTGGGCTTGATCCCCAGTAGGGGGCGTGCAGGAGGCATCTGATCAATGATTCTCTCTCATCATTGATGTTTCTATCTCTCCCTCTCCATTTTTCTCTGAAATAAATTTAAAAAGTATATTTAAAAAAATAAAATCAATAAAAATTTTAAAAAAAACAGCCTCGTTCATCAAGTGTGTCAGTGTGTTTTGTAAAAAACACTTAAGATTTACCTTCTTCAACCAATGGACATAAAACTCTGGGAGGGAGGGTATGTATGGGAGGGAGGAGGGAAAAAAAATCAATAAAATATATTTTAAAAAATTTACCTTTTTAGAAAATTTCAAGTATACAGTATGGTATTGTTAACTACAGTCACCATGCCGTAAGTTAGATCTCTAGAGCTTACTCATCTTGTATAACTGAGACTTTGTACCTTTGACCAATATCTCCTCATTTCCCCTACCACTACCCGTAGCATCTAGCATTCTGCTCTCTGCTTTGATGAGTTGAACTATTTTATTGTGGTTTTTTTTTTATTATGGTTTTTAAAAAAATCCTCACCCGAGGATATTTTTTCCATCGATTTTCAGACAGTTGAAGCGGGGAGGGGAGAGAGAAAGAGAGAAATATTGATGTGAGAGGGACACTTGGTTGCCTCCTGCACATGTCCTAATCAAGGCCCAGGATCAAACCCGCAACCTTTTGGCCCCTCTGCTCTAACCACTGAGAAAAACTGGCCAGAGTGAGTTGGACTATTTTAGATTCCACATATAAATGAGCAAAGTTTGCTGCCTCTTCCCTTCAGAGCAAAGATTCAGACCTGAATTTTAATTTTTTAAATTTATTTTGAGAGAGATAAAGAGACATTGATTTGTTGTCCTACTTATTTATGCATAAATTGGTTGATTCTTTTTAAAAATACATTTTTATTGATTTCAGAGAGGAGGAGAGAGGGAGAAAGAGATAGAAACATCAATGATGAGAGAGAATCATTGATCGGAGGCCTCTTGCATGCCCCCCACTGGGGATTAAGCCTGCAACCTTGGCATATGCCCTGACCAGGACCGAACCCTGACCTGGTTCATAGTTCAATGTTCAACCACTGAGCCATGCCATCAGTCTCATTGGTCATTTCTTGTATGTGTCCTGATGGGATTGAACCTGCAACCTTGGCATTTTGGGATGATGCTCTAACCAACTGAGCTACCTGTCCAGCATCGAGGATAACTTTTAACTACAGAAATATTTATACTCTCCCTTTTAACCTTATTTTCTAGCTAAAACTGAGCAAGAGGTTGACATTATAGTGCCACAGTTCTCCAAGGTGACCGCAACAGACTTCTTCCAGAAATTGGTATGTTGAGTGCTTATTTTATAATGACCTAAGGGACAGCTTTTATGTGTTGCAAGTATGTAAAAGGTTATTTTTAGATATTGTAGATTGGAGATGGGGAACATCTGGCTCTGCTATGGCAACTGCAGGCAGGACTCGGAATTAATGAATTTAGCAGCTTTTTTCATAGCAACATAATTTTTAAGATGATAATTTTGTTTGGCTCTCGAATTATGTTATCAATATCCAAATGGCCCTTGGCAGAAAAAAAAAGTTTCCTCAGCCCTGTTTTAGATTTTCTTAATTAGGGATTTTAAGTAAGACAGTTTTATTTAAAATATATTGGCTATTTTAGAGAACATGGCAATTCATGTTCTTGTATGACTGCTGTAGCATGTTATTACCTCAGATGGTGTTATTACATTAGAGTGTGAGCCAGCTGCATGACATCTGCAAAGACAACAAGGCAACATTCCCTTTAGCTTTCAAATGCCTGACTCAGCCTTCAGATCCCGCAGCTAATGATGCTCTGTTCCAAAGGGTCCTTTGTCCGTGTTCTCGGCTAACAAGAGATGGACATCTCCTCGAAGCATTCACTTCACCGCGGAAGAGGGGGACTTAGGGTTCACCTTGAGAGGAAACTCTCCAGTCCAAGTCTACTTCCTGGATCCCTACTGCTCTGCTGCGGTAAGCGTGTGCTGGCCTAGGCGGGGGCAAAACTCACTGGCATCTTTGCAAGCAGTCAAACTGGTAAAATACAAAGAAAGCTGTCCAAACAACAAACATGTGGGTGAATGATCTAGGTTTCCTTTATTAAAAAGGCTTCTATGGATGTTACATATGCCTAAAGAGGAAAAGATTTTTATTTCTTAAAGCAAATTTATGCAAATATCTATTTTATTAATGAACTTGGAAACTGATTCCAGGAACTGAATGAACAGAATGTTGACCTTTATTTACATTATACTTTTGTAGCTGGCAGGAGCCAAGGAAGGGGATTATATTGTTTCCATTCAAAATGTGGATTGTAAATGGCTGACCGTGAGCGAGGTTATGAAACTGCTGAAGGGCTTCGGCGAAGACGACATTGAGATGAAGGTTGTGAGCCTCCTGGACTCCACCTCATCCATGGTGAGCGCTGACACCCCTGGTAGTAAAGAGCAAAGTGGGGTGAAGTTGGTGTAACCTCAGAGGTCTTTCCCAGACCCTCTTCCTCCTGCCTGCATTTGAAGCATGCCACAAATGACTGAACTCCTAAGCTTGCCATTGCTGGGATGTGCTTGCCGTGGGTCAGAGAGTTCTAGAAAACTTGTGTTATTGATCCTGTAGATAAAATAACCAATAGCCTTGTTTTCAAGATTATATCCTTTTAAAAAAAATTTATTGATATCAGAGAGAAAGGGAGAGAGAGCAAGGGATAGAAACATCAATAATGAGAGAATCATTGATCCACTGCCTCCTACAGGCCCCCTACTAGGGATCTAGCCCACAACCCTGGCATGTGCCCTGACCAGGAATCAAACCATCACCTCTTGGTACATAGGTCAACCTCAACTACTGAGCCATGCCAGCTGGACCTGAGTATATCCTTTTTTAAAAATTTTTTATTAATATATTTTGTTGATTTTTTACAGAGAGGAAGAGAGAGGGATAGAGAGTTAGAAACATCAGTGAGAGAGAAACATTGATCAGCTGCCTCTTGCACACTTCCTACCAGGGATGTGCCTGCAACCAAGGTACATGCCCTTGACCGGAATTGAACCTGGGACCCTTGAGTCTGCAGGCCGATGCTCTATCCACTGAGCCAAACTGGTTAGAGCCTGAGTATATCCTTTTTAATGACAAAAGTAATACATACTCAGTAAAAATATATTCAAATGGTACAGAAGGCTTATCATTTGACAGATCCTCTCCACCTATCAAAGATAACATTGTTATTCCCTGTGAGATCTTGGGACATGTTTGATGCCTGTGCAAGTTCATGTGGAGTTATATCCTTTCTTCCCCCTAGGGGAAGGAATCACACTTTGCTGCATTTGACAGTGTATCTTAGAGATTTCCCTCTATAACAACATTCATTTATTCATTCAGCAAATATTGATTGAGCATTAGCTGTGTGCCAGGCTCTTCTTAGGTGTTGGAACTCCAGCTGGAACTAGACAAATAAGGTTCCTGCCCCCACGAAGCTGGCACTAAATAAGCAAATGATTATGGTTGTGATTTTGATAAGTGCTGCAAAGAAAAGAAAAGGTGTGTCAGACATAATAGGATGATTGGGGGTAGGGAGTATAATGACAAGTTCAGGCAGAATTTTCACAAAGACTGGAGTGACGAGGAGGAACCTCTGTATTTGAAGAGGTATGAGAGGAGAGCATTCTGGGCAGGGGGCCAGCAGGTGCAGAGACCCTGTGGCGTGATTAAGCTCCCGGTGAAGGAACAAAAAGCGGGCCTTTTGACTAGAGCATCGTGATGACAGGAAATGAGGTGGGAGGGAGACAGCCTCATGGCAGCAGTGGGACTTTGAAATCCACTAAACCTTTGAAGAAGGGAATGAAATGATAGGATGTTTACTTTAGAAGAATATCTGCCTGGAGGCTGGCCACGTGGCAGCAGGGTAAGCTGGTTAGGCAGTCATCAGGCCAGTGATCCTAGCAGCTTACACTAGGCGGGGTGGCAATGGCAGTGGAGAGAACTGGATGCACCTGAGACATACTTTCAAGTGGAGCTGCAGAAATTTGTAGATGATGTGTGTTTAAAAAAAAACAAACAAACAGCCGAAACTGGTTTGGCTCAATGGATAGAGCATCGGCCTGGGGACTGAGAGGTCCCGGGTTCGATTCCGGTCAAGGGCATGTACCTTGGTTGCGGGCATATCCCCGGTAGGGGGTGTGCAAGAGGCAGCTGATCGATGACTCTCTCTCATCGATGTTTCTAGCTCTCTATCTCTCTCCCTTCCTCTCTGTACAAAATCAATAAAAATATATTTAAAAAAAAAAAGATGGTAGAAAGAGAGATGATTCCTTAGTTTTTGGCTGGAACGGCTGCGTCATTTTTTATAATGATGGGGAACAGGGGTGGAAGCGAGAGAAAAGAATTCTGCTTTGACTGTTTCATATGCCATTAGACATCTAGATATAAATGTAAAGTTGGTGGCTGGATGTTCATATCTTCAGTTTAAGAGAGAAGTCAGAGCTAGAAGTAAATATTTGAGAACCTTCAGCGTAGTGATGATATTTAAAGCTGGAAGACTGAATGGAATTGCCTGCGAGGGGCTGAGGGCTGACATCTAGAGGTGTGTTAGAAGCGGAGCAGAGGAAGTTGGGAGGGCGAGTCAGAGAGATTGGGCAAAAAGGTGCTTCTGAATCAAGAGAAGAAAATCCTGCATAAGTTGCATAAGTTAAGGGGTGGAGAGTGAGGGAGGAGGAGCATGTCTAGTTGGCAGCTGGACAAAAGGACAAAAGGAGAGATGGCAACAGAACTCAAAGGGCTGGAGAGTGAATGGATTGTGTGATTTCACCAATAAGAAATGTGCAAATAGGAAAGTCCACAGAAACAGAATGTAGATTCGTGGTTGCCAGGGGCTAGGATTGGAGCATTGGGAATGGGGAGTGACTGCTCATGGACAGGTTCTTGGCTGGGGGCAGGGGGAGGGGTTGAAAAGGTTCTGAAATGAAATAGTAGTGGTGGTTGCACAGCTGTGAATATGCTAAAAACCACTGAATTGTATTAAAATGGTAAATTTTATGGGATGTGAATTGTATCTTAATTTAAAAATAAAGTCTGTGGATTCACAGAGCACCTTGGAAGAGGGGATCGTGAGGAATGGTACTTTAGGGGCAGACTCCATAGAATTGATGGACAAGTGATCAAGATCCTAACCAGAAAGAGAAAAGAGGTTTGTCTCAAAGGAGGATGAACAAAAGGCTGGGCTGAAGAGCTAGAGTAGAGGCACTGACAGAGAGGGAGGCGTGGCTTCACAGGGTCCTGCCCTTGAACTGAGATGGAAAGGCTTCTTTCAGACCTGGCATGTCTTGAAGGCGGCCAAGGGAGTGGTGGTCCTGGCTTTGCCACCAGTTGTGTGACCTTGGCCCATTCAGGGGACAGCTCAGCCTCAGGGAAATGGGGAAAACAGTGCCTGGCATGCGATATGTTTCAGTTCATATAGGTGTTATAATAACCATGATGTGGTTAATCCTTTCTCCCAGCGAGGATTCTAGATAATAACATTTGAGCATTGATTTTTATGTTTGTTTGTTTTTTAATATATTTTTATTGATTTCAGAGAGGAAGGGAGAGGGAGAGAGATAGAAACATCAATAATGAGAGAGAAACATTAATTGGCTGCCTCCTGAACACTCCACACTGGGGACCGAGCTTGAAGCTCAGCATGTGCCCTGACTGGGAGTTGAACCATGACCTCTTGGTTCATAGATCGATGCTCAACCACTGAGTCACACCAGCCAGGCATGAGCACTGTTTTTAACTGCTAAACCTTTTCTTCAAACAAAACCAAATAATGAGAATAGAGCTGAGAGCTCTGCTGAATTGATTATAGCCTTTCCTTTCCCCCAGCCCCAAAAAACACATTCTCTCTGGATCACAGTGGGGATCCCCTAGGACTCCTTTGTGGAGCATAGTTTTGAAAACTGCTGATATAGTGGAATCCTAGGCATGGGATCAAAAAGACCTGGAATCAGGCTTTCTCTGCTATTAACAAGCTACATGACCCTTTCCTTGGCCTCAGTTTGCTCGTCCGTGTAATGTAGAAGTTGACTAGGGCTATAGTTTCTTTTTTTTAAAAAACACATATTTTATTGATTTTTTTTTTTTCTTCAGAGAAAAGGGAGAGGGATAGAGAGTTAGAAACATCGATCAGCTGCCCGCAACCAAGGTACATACATGCTGTGACCGGAAATGAACCTGGGACCCTTCAGTCTGCAGGCTAACACTCTATCCACTGAGACAAATTAGTTAAGGCATAGAGCTATGGTTTCAAACTGCTCCATAAAACCCTGAGAGTTCCATAAAGCCCCAGGAAGATGAGAGGAAACTAGTGAATAGGGAAGACCTAAAGGGAGCAGAGCCCTTGGGGTGGTAGCTGGGGGTGAGAGGCAGACATAGGGAAAGAGGAAAGGGAAGCTTTTCAAAGAAGGTGGTGGTGGTGGTGTGTGTAGGTAACAGCAAGCTTGTGTGGGAAAGGTCTGGGAGACGGGTGAAGGAGGGAAAACCTGGAGGAAGACAGCGCATGAGATCCAGGTACACCAGAGGGCTTGTCTTTGTGGACAGGTGCAATTACATGTTAGGCAAGGGTATCAGGAGGGCATGTGCGGGGCTTGAGAGAAGGTATCTAGGAGAAAAGAAAAAGTTACTGGGGAAACGTAGGAGTGCCAGGTAATGGGTGCCCAGTAAAGCTTTGGGATCAGGGTTAGAATGTCAAGGGAAGCCAGTCAGCTTGGTAAATATCCCCTCGTAAGGGCATCTGTTTAGGTGCAGATGTGGGGGAGGCAGTGAGTATTGAATTAGAGTTGACATTCACTGGTGGAACTGGGTAAGGGAATTGAGGGTGTTTCCAGGGAGGGGTTATTCTGTATAATGGACTTTAAGCGGGTCCTGTAGATCATTTGGGATTAATGGCAGTTTTATAGGAAAGGGAGCAGGATCTTATCCAAAGGAGCCATGTATTTTATAGTGAAGAGGGACATTTTATAGTGAATACCTTCCTTTATTGCTGCATCACTCAAATTCCTTGATTATATTATGAACAATGTACCCAGCCACTTAGGTCTGTTGTATGTATACTTACATAAATGGCCTGATTTCAGTGCCTGGAACAGAGATGTTTGATAAACATTTGGTGAACAAAGCAATCTCACTGTTAGGCAAGCCTTACAAGCAGGTGATAACCTTGCGGCGCCAGCACAGCCAAGGGTTAGGTGAGCTTGAGGAGGGGCGGTGAAGGATTAAAGAAAAGATAGACAAGAGAATACAGCTGGGGCTCGGTGGATCTCCTGGGCCCGGATGTGGACAAAGACCCAGCTTGTAAACTGAGGCTTTATTTTGTAGTGAGATCAAAACAAGGGGCGTGGTCAGCCTGTTTACAATGTTCCTATGAGTTTCGCTTGTTTTGGCAGCACTTGCTGCACCTCACACAGCCCATTAGCTACCTGGGAAGGAACTAGGGAGGGCTATATTGTTAAGCTTAATTTAGAGGGCTCTGCCCTCCAAGCTGGTACTTGTTTGTGGCCCTGCCACAGGTCAGTTCGAGACTTAACCCTATAGCTGCTCCCTACAATAACCCACTTGGACGTGTTTAGAAAACAAGTTTCTTTAGATTTTCTATTGGAGTCCTACACAGTCCTTTAAAAGTTGGGTTTAATAGGTACACTTTTGTTTGGCAAAGATGATCAAGTTCTGGAGGTGAACAGTGGTGATGGTTGCACCACCACATGAATGTATATAATACTACAGGACTATATCCTTAAATTGGGGGGAAAGTTAATTGGCATCCTCACTGTGGATTCGATATTGTCTTTAAAGAGAATGAAGGTTTGCTATATCTAATGGCATAGACTGAAATTCAAGATATGTTGAGAAGAAAGCAGGGTGCAAACCAGTCAGTGTGTATAGTGTGTTCCTTTTAAATAAGCCTAACTGGTGACATATACTTATGCACATTTCATTACCTGTTTTTGAACATTATCTCCAAAAGTGCAACAGAACTCAGAAGGGCCTGGAGCAAAGATAGGAGGAACATTTACTGTTCACTATATGTATTTTCATATTATTGACCATGAGTATGTATTACTTTTTCAAATATAAGAACCTTAAAAAGTGAATGTATTCCTTAAAAATTGCCCTTGTTTTTAAAAACCTAAATCTATATAAAGATTAGTCACCTGAGTTTCAGAATTTTGTCAACTGAATTTTAAAGAGGATGTGTCTCAGACTTTGCAGTCACTTATCAGATATCTTGATGGTTTCTAACACTCTTTTCTTCCTTCTCTACGTGCAGCATAATAAATGTGCCACATACTCTGTGGGGATGCAGAAAACTTACTCCATGATCTGCTTAGCCATAGATGATGATGATGATAAGACTGATAAAACGAAGAAAATCTCGAAAAAGCTCTCTTTCTTGAGCTGGGGCACCAGCAAGAACAGACAGAAGTCTGCCAGCACCTTGTCCCTCCCATCGGTCGGGGTTGTCAGGCCTCATGTCAAGAAGAAGCTCACCGCTCCTTTCAGCCTCCTTAACTCCGACAGTTCTTTGTACTAATGCAGGGAAACAAACGCTCAGCCCCAAACGTTTCCAGTGCTGACGAGGCCTTCATATTTGTGCCATAATGGGAAATTTCTAAATAGCCTCAATCCTGTTTTCTCAGTGTAACCTTACAATGGATGTCTATGAGTGAAAGTAACAAGGAACTTACAGAAATGTGTGGAAAACAAATTTATTCAAGGAATGTCACCATATTGCTGCACGTTATTTATTATACAACGTAGTAATGAAAATATGGCAATTTTTAATGGCTACAATTATGACTTAGTTTTCATCAGAGTTAAATTGGGGCTACCTATATTGGTCTTACATGTCAGTTTCCAGGCTTGGATAATAGATCATTCCTTAATCCAAAATCTAGATGAGCCCAAATGAAGACAGTCAAGGGACTATTTGGATGGGTTTTAATTAGTATTACTAAAAGGGTTACAAAGAGCTGCTTTCTAAGGGGACTTCATTAACCTAAAATGTCAAGATTTTACTATTATTTCTATATAATAGGAATGCTATTTCCAGATAAAGTCTAGTACCAAATTTGTCATGACTTATTAGATAAAATCATTTTGGAGCAGCCTTCTAGTTACATGTCATTTACAAGTTGCTAACACAGTGGCAGTGTTAGATGAAGATGCTGTCTACAAGGTAGATAATATACTGTTTGATACTCAAAACATTTTTCATTTTGTTTAAAGTAGAAAGTACATAGATGTATATTTTAAGTCTTTTAAGTGGGTTGAATTTTATAAGGTACTGATGTAAATGATTCATTTGACTTCCTAAAATGACATTCTTGATTTCTCATGCTATAAGCTGGATGATACCGTGATTCTAATAAGATTCACTGTTGACATAGCACAAGTTATATAGTTTAAAAACACAGCATTGAGATCTGATTTTGAGAATTAACAAGAATTTAAAATATTCTCTAGTGTGCAATATCAAAAGGGAAGCAACACCTTTGGGAAAGTGTATCCACTGCTCTTAGGGCATTTTTGTGTAAATATTTAAATAAACAGATTCATTTGCCTGAGTTAATGTTTTTTTATTTTTTCACTTCAGTTCTCTCCTTTCAAAATGTTTTTATGTTAATGCACAAATGATTTGTGTGTGTTTTTTTAAATTACTAACATTTCATAAAACTGGACTTTCAAGTTATCTTAGTATCTTTGAAAACATATTTAATTTTATTTTACTTACTTAATCTTCACCCAAGGATATTTTTTTCATTGGTTTTAGAAAGAATGAAAGGGAGAGTGGGAAGGAGGGAGGGGGAGAAAGAGACATCAATTGGTTACCTCCCTCATGTGCCCTGACTGGAGCAGGATTGAGCCTGCAACTGGGGTACATACCCTTGACTGGGAATGAGAACCGTGGGTTCAGGGTTCACACTCTAACCACTGAGCAAAACTGGTGAGGGCAGTATTTACTTTTTGAATAGGCAGGTGTACCTTTTGATCCCCAGCTCTTCTTTCTGGACATAGCTGCCTGCCATTTGCCTATGTATCTTCACATGGTTGGGCTATACATTTACAAACACACTCCCACTACCCCCAATCCTCCCCCCACACACACACACACACTTCGGCTTTTCATCTTTAAGTGGGTACTCTACAGGCTTTCTGTGTTCAGATGTGCCCAGTGATTATAAACAATATGCAGCCACCATAAAGGAAGCGATTGAGGGAGAAAACACAAAGGCTGTACAATTTATTTACAATGGCAGCAACCCTCAAAGCACCGGCATATTAAGACCAGACCTGAAGAGCAGTGGGTTTACCACCAGGAACAAGGGGCTTATGGTACACAGTGCTTCATTGTAGGCCTGTCTCCTTTAGAAGGTCATATCCACTGAAACCTGGTAAGATCTTTCCATTACAGATATAGGTCAAGGTCACGCATTTAAAAATAAAAGCCAGCGTGGGCAGATTTATCAATCTGAGAGTCTCTAATTCTAGGGACTCTCTTAGGAAGATCGCCACTGGCTCTCTTCAGGGTAGCAGAACCAGGCAGCACCAACTTAAATGCCAGCACATGGAGCAGCACAGGACAGCTGGCAGGGTCCACTCAGGCCTCCCCTCATCTTTCACTAGTTGTGAGAGGAAATTTTTTCTCTTTTTTAAAAAAATATATTTTTTATTGATTTTTTACAGAGAGGAAGGGAGGGAGATAGAGAGCCAGAAATGTCGATGAGAGAGAAACATCGACCAGCCGCCTCCTGCAGCCAACATACACGCCCTTGACCGGAATCGAACCCGGGACCTTTCAGTCCGCAGACCGACGCTCTACCACTGAGCTAAACCGGTTTCGGCGGAAATCTTTTTTTTTTTCTTCTTGATTTTTAAATATGAAAAGAAAACAAGAGCCTGCAGTTGGTATAAAATGGAACCTGTAGCAGATGCTGTCAGAAGCGCTGTCACCGGGACTGAGTGAAGAACGCGTGAATTTGCTGAGCTGCTGCCTGCCCAACGACCTGCTCCAGGTCTCGGATGGAAGTGTTACTGAGCTGCTGGAGACTCGGGAACTTCTGAAGCAGCAGGGAAGCTTTCACTTTTCCCACTCCTGGGATCTGCTGCACAGTTCGAAGTAAGAACGGCTCAGAGAGCTGAGCCTGCTTCTTCCTGAGAAAAGGGTTCTTACTGGGCTCTTTGGTTTGCTCTTGAACCTAAAAGGAAATTAAAGAGCACGTGAGCACCCTCTAGAGGACTAACAGTTTCAGTTTTTCTATTTGGTTCAACTTTTCACTACAAATGTTTTCATATATCATGAATGCAATTTTTCATCAGCAAAACTATTGAAAGGTGGACCATATGACTACACAAAGGGGTAGAGATAAAAATTTTAAAACTAAAAACTTGGGTTTCCAGAAGGGTTAGGATAAAACCAATGAGAACATACTCTGAGGAATTCAAACTTGTCCCTATGATACACTGAGAAGTGTTTCAGTTGTATGAGATTAAATGATGACTATGTCTAAATCAGACCTGCCTGTCAAAGGAGAAACCCAGTCTTCAGTTATGGATACAGGAAGGCAGACAATAGCACTCCATCAAGGAAAGTTAGGAATAGTAAAACAAGAAATGTGGCAGAGAGCATGGAGGGATCTGTGAACAATTTGGTTCCCAATCTTAGCTGCACATCAGAGGAGAAGATTTAACATCAACATAACACAAATTGATGCTTAAGCCCTACTCCCACATTCTGATTTTTAACTGGTCTGAGGTAAGGCTCATGTATTGCTATTTTGAAAAGTTTATCCACAAAATTCTGACGTAAGATCAAGTTGAATAATCTTCAACAAGGTTTAAAAACAACATAACCTTGCACACTGAATACTAATGCTTAAAAGATATGTGGGGATGAGGCAAAGCAGCTGCTAGAGGAGCTTTTCCCCAGGGTCAATGCAGAGTAGTTAATGATGGAGTCATCACAGCCTGGGAGTCTCAAGTCTCCAACTTGTTCACTTTGTAAACAGTTGCCTAAAATAGGTATCAAACTCAGCTGGTTGCAGGGGCAGCTTCTGGACTTAAATTCCTCAAAGAGGTTCTATAAAGCAACACAGAATGACTGGATTGCATTGATGGGCTCAGGAACCGTAACAAACAAGGGCAGCTGCTGAAAGATCCATGAAGGTCAGTTGAGTCCTCAAGAGCAGGAGGCAGCACTTACTAACTGGACAATGACGCAGGATGCTTCCATCTGGCTAGCCACTGGAAGCAATGCCATCCCGAGGTCCAGCACAGTAAACTTCTGTATGGCTGGGAAGTACTGTTCACTCGTGGGCGTTTTTTCAACTATCACAATTCCTTGAAGATTGCTGGACTTCAAAGGAAAAAAAACAACAAACCATTTTGTAACAAAATTCCTTTCAGGCTTAAGAAAGCTATCCCTCCAAACGTGCTTGGAATGGCCAATGGTTTTATTTAAGTTATTCCATACATAAGAGGGAGGAGGATTAGAAATTAATTTCAAAAGTCAGTGTCTTCAATTCAGTACTTACATTTCTAACGCGTACCAGCTTCTTTCGGTAGCTGTTTCCGGCCACCAAATCGGCTTCTGTGATATAAAGAATGCAGGATCTGACAGACAAGTAAAAATCTACCGGTGCTAGGCCATCTTCAAAAACAAGTTTAATTTTCCCTTAAAATGCAGACAAGAAAATAAGCTTGAATGAAAAAAGTAGCAATTGGTTGAACGTTTTTTAAAAGTGGGGCGAGGTCAAGAGAGGGTTTATGCAGAGGGCAGCCCACCGACCTTGCATGCCCTGTGCCAGCTGCGACCCACGCCACTTCTCATTGGCAACCACGTGCCCCAAAGGCACGTGCACAGGGCCTGTGCCAGCAGGGGGGTTCCTCTCCATGGCGGTGACCTCGATCTAGAGAGGGAAATTCAAGACTGAAAGGCAAGGCTGTCCTGCACACGGCCCCGCATTCCCGTCGAAGCCAGGGCGGGGCCTATTGGCAGGAGCCGGTCGTCAGTGTTCTCTCATTACTTGCCAAAGCCTAAGAACTAGGGGATTCCTGTCCTGGAGGCCAGTCCCGCGTTTTCATCACCTGCCTGACTCCTGACACCCCAACTCCATCCGCTCCGCGCCCGGGCTGCACAGTTGCATCCTCTCGTCTTGCCCGCCCTCCTCCTCGCAGGGCACCGGATAGGCTCTGGCGTCAGAGATCGACATCTCCCCTGGCCAATAAGAGCACGGAGAGCACGCACAGTTTCCGCCCCGGAGGGGATTTGAACAAGACCCGCTGGTTGCCAAGAGCGACGGGCAGGAAGTATCCTGGGCCCTGATTGGCCGGCGGGGAAGCAGAGCCAGTGGCAGACGCGGTTGCTGCGGAGTCCCCGGAGTGGAAAATGCGTCCGGGGCCAGGCCGGCGGGCGGGGGCCGGGCTTTAGGGAGCGGTCCTGGGCTTTGAGGAGACTCGCTTGTCGGCCCAGACGCGGTGGGACCATTCCCCGCAGCAAAGATGCTCCTGGGCGTTCCGAGAGGCCGCAAGAGCCAGTTTGTAAGTAAATTCTTGCGCGGCCCGCGCCCTGGCCCGGGCGCCAGGAGTGACAGGAGGAGGGCTTGGGATTGGGCTTGAGATTGAGGCAAGGTAGCGGCGCTCGGGGCAGTGGTTTTTCCATTCGAAAAGCCCTGATCCTTTGTGCTCTAGAGAACCCTTTGTCCCAGGTGAGCCTCAGTGGGACAGGAATCGCCCTGTCTCCCCACATCGTTCTCTCAGGTGTCGGGGAGCTCACTCCTGCCCGCCACAGACCTGCTCCACTGCTGGTGTCCCCAACAGGGAGTCGTTCTTGATTCCTCCCGCCACCCACCGCCTATCGCAAGTTCTTTAGAGTCTGCCCACACATACATCTGGCAGCTGTTCCCGCCCCGCCCTGTCCTCCAGCTTCTACCTGAACTGATGCAGCAGCTCCTCACTATTTCTCTGCCTTTTTTTTTTTTTTTTTGCTACATGCTTGCTCTAGTAACCTGACTCCAACAATCCGTTAACACAAACTTCCCATCCCCATCCCGCAAACCAATCTATTGATCTTACCAGTGTTCTTCTCCCTGTCCTCATTTTCAGCCCTAGTTTCTAATTCCACAGTCTATCATTATAATCACTCTCTGTGTACACCCCCAACTCCCGTGCTGCTGTCTCTTTCGCCACTTGCCTGGCGAAACTCAAAACCTCCTTCTATCCAGTTCTCCATAAACGTAATACTTTAAGTGAGCAGAAAGCATTTTGATAAGGGCATTTCTGAACTCTGTTTTAAACCGAGGATAGAAAGCATGTCTGACTTGGCTACCTGTTCTCAGCCCCCGCACCTGCAGCGAGCCTTTTAGACAGGCTGAGAAGCAGGGAAGACATACTTGAGGCATATTTTTGCATTGCAGTTTGCTTGCTCAGAGTGGCATTGTTGAGTTCCTGCTCTGTGTCAGATACCCACAGTTAGTTGACAGCCTATGGCCACACCATCTAAAGGATAGACGAACCCTTAAATAAATCATCATAGAGAGTATGTATAGAGATGAGGAAGGGTAGCAAGAAGTGAATTTTGGTTCATTGGTAGGAACCAACAGATAGCAGCTTAGCAGCCACACTATACCATTAACCTGTCATCAAGAGATGGGGCTGCCCATGAGGGTCTTCCTGTGGGTTGAGATGGGTCCATCCTGTGTCTTAGAGGCTGAGGTCGGAGGACCACAGTGGGAAATGATTATAGTGGTATAGTGAGAAATGATCAGCATATTATGGGAGAGTCACTTTATTTAAAAAAAAAAAAAAAAAAGAAAGAAAAACTCATGAGGCCTTTTTGGAGGATATATGGATTTCCTTTTTATTTTATTTTTTCTCCTTGAGCATCTCCTTGGGGTGGGGGAGGAGGATGGGGAATGGGGGAGGAGGCAGATATTAAACTGTCAAATTGTGTGACCAGTGCGGGATGGTAGGTGCTACACAGTGCGGTAAACGGAGAATATAGCAGACACTGCTCTGGAATGCTTATTCTTGGGGTTGGCATGCAAATGAAATTGAGGATTTGGGGGGATGCTGCAGGAGACATTTGGAAGGTCTCTCCATCCCTCCTGAAGGATGCCCCAACCCTGGCTTTCCCCTTGGTTCCTGTCTTCTCCCCCATACTTTATGCCTACCACTGCTTCATTAATCTTTCCAGGGGCATTTTCAGTGGGTGCTCCTCACTAGGCCCCAGGATCACCTTAGTCTTATTTCAAAACTCTTAAATGGAAACAATCCCCATTCTTAGTCCCAACCCATTGTTCTAGTCTCTCCCTCTCAGATGCCTCTATGTTACAGCAAACTCGATACTTGTTATTTCCAGTCTAGAAATGAAGCCACTAATGTCTTACTTCATTCCTTTGTTCATGCTGTTCCCTCTTCCTAGAATGCTTTTCTTCATATTTCCCGAATGTGAAAGCAGTGGCCATCTTTGAAGGTCTAGTCTAAATTTCCCTGTGGTTTTCTCCAAGGGGCATAAGAAGCCCCCTTCCCTCCCTGGGTCCCCTCAGCACTTTTTCTATCTTTCCCCTGGCACGTTCCATAATTCCCTGTTACATAGTAAGTATTTGCATGTTTTCCTCTGCACTCTCCCTCCTTGAGGATGACGGCAAGGTTTAGTAATTGCTGTCATGGCGTTTTGCTTCTAGTAGGTGTGAATGAATGGCTGGTGCACAGAATGATTGGGATATTCTCAGAAACTTCTGAGAGACTCCCAGTTGCCTAAAGCAGATTCCCCTTACTTTTAATGTGTGTAGGAACTAGTTTTTGTTATTCTGCATCATCAGAACTACCTAAAATGTACAGGTGTAGAGCAAAGTGCTAAGTGCTGGAGTTCAGGGTTAATAAAGAAAAGATGGTTGCCTGCTCCCAGGAAGCTTCTGTTCTGTAGGGAGTTGGCAAATGATTGCCTGGGGTCACTGGAGGCAGTGCTATAAGACAAGTGGAGGTGCCTCGGGGCTCCCCTGGGGGTCAGGAAAGCTGCTCTGAGAGGAAAGGTGAAAGGCCCCACTATAAATGCTCCCTGGGTGGGCGTGCCTGCCTGGCCAGTTGAGTGTGTGGAGGAGTGGGCCTCCTGGTGGGGATAGGCCCCTGAACTGCCAGTGTCCCTTCTTAGGCCTAGGGAGGGGTGGTGGCGGGCCCCAAGTGATTCTTTACACAGTGACCTGTTCTGGGTTTTATTTGTGCAGAAACACATCATCCATGGCCTTCTACCTGCAGCCAGCATTGCTCCGAAGCCAGCTGTGCCCCGCACACCTCCTCCCCGCAGCCCCAACCCCTCTCCAGAGAGACCGAGGTGAGTCTCAGGTGAGCAGGCACTGAGGTCACCCTTGTGCTCAGCTGCCAAGTGGTGGGTCCAACTGGCGAGATTACAAGTAGGGTGATTAGAATCATGTCCTTTGAAATATTTATCATGGCTCCATAATTTAATATGATTTCTCTGTGGGATAATGGCCTATCTCTTTCAGGTGTGGACTCCTCACATTTCGTAATTGAATGCAGTTAGTATTTTTCAAAATATTAAAGCCCAAGTATTTCAGTTGATGGTATGTTAAAAGGAATTTTAATTGTGGACATAATTTTCTCTTTAAACATAAGTCGGCCTTTCAAACGAGCTGCCTTGTGGGAGGGAATGAGAAGCGGGTTCACTCCCCAGGGCCTGGGATTTCCCACGTCCTCCAGGGCTCCTAACACATCGGTTAGATGACTTTGTGTTATATATACATCATCAAAACTGAGGCCCCTGCCTGTGCTCTCAAAGATTTTAGATATAGGAGAAAGTTAGAGTATTTTTTGTACATTAGATACCTGGATGCATGACTTGATTATTAACAATGAGAACAAATTTCATTCCAGAGTGATACCTTCTTCTGGTGTACTTTGAAACTAGAGTATTGTATGCCTCCTGATTAAAAAACACAAATATTTTTAGTGTTTGTGTTCTCCTTTAGTATAATCTTGATAATAAGAATAGCCACTTATTAGTACTTACTCTGTGTCAAGGAATCCAGTAAGTGCTCTAGAAGTATTATCTCATCTCATCCTCTCAGTGACCCCATGAGAGAGGTCCTGTTGGCATCTCTCCGAGCTCCAGTGTTCAGCATTTGCCTGAGTCTCACAGCTGGCGAGCAGTGGCATCGCTGCGCTGCACTTGAAGGTCTGTCCAGCTCCATTAAGTAGTGATATTATAACTTAAATGTTTCTATAGCAGCAGTAGTAACGAGACAGGCAGCTTTACATCCCTTATAAAGCAGAAAAACAAAAGAACGGGTCATGCTGAAACCGGTTTGGCTCAGTGGCTAGAGCGTTGGCCTGCAGACTGAAAGGTCCCAGGTTTGATTCCGATCAAGGACATGTACCTTGGTTGCGGGCACATCCCCAGTGGGGGTGTGCAGGAGACAGCTGATCGATGTTTCTCTCTCATTGATGTTTCTAACTCTCTATCCCTCTCTCTTCCTCTCTATAAAAAATCAATAAAATTTATTAAAAAAAAAAAAAAAAAGAACGGGTCATATCCTGCCAAGCATGCTATAGATTCATTAGAAAAATTCTAATAGTCTCTGTGATTTACAGAAATATATTCCCAGATTGTAATCTTTATAAACCCCAAATAAACAACATGACTTTAGCAAACTTGGCATACTTCTAGATCTTTTTATTTTTAAAAAATAACATTTAAATAATATTTGATATTATTCCACTTCATGTGTGGTATAATAGTGTAAGAGTCTTTTGTTATTTACTTTGATTGCCTCCCTCCCATCCATTGTATAACTATTGTCATACATTTTAATTTTATCTATTATAAACTGCATAATATATTACTATTTTTGCTTTAGTTATCTTTTTTAAAAACTGT